GGCTAGCTGCCGCGCGGGCTGGGCGACGGGGCAGCCGGGTGGCCCCGGGTCCGGGTTGGGAGACCGGGGGGTCCTCGGTACGCGCCGAGGCCAGGACGACTTGGCAGCGTCTTCGGTGGGAGAGGGGCGAGGGGGCTGGAGCAAGCTTTTGGTCATTGAGTGGGAACCTAGCCTTCAGGCTCCCTCCGCTCTCCCGCATCCCCGCCAAGCCCCGAACCCCTATTCGTGCCCTTTTCCCAATCCCCCACCGCGAGCCTCAGCCCTCCGACCCGCCACTCGCCCTCCAAATCCCTGCCACCCCTTCCCAAGCTCTCGCCCCCACCTCCCGGTCGACGCCACCCCCAACCCCTGCTGTCTCCAGCTTCTCCACCCCCAGCTCCGCTCTTCTCTCCTAGCCTTTTTCCACCGGCGTCCCCGCCCCTCCAACCTGTTCCTGCTGGGTCCCCGCTCCTCTGCCGCCTGATTCCGGCTGGAACTCGAGCTCCTGGGACGGTCTTCCCGATCTCCGAATCTGCGCTCCTCGGGTAAGAGGACGGCCGCAACTTCGCGGCGTTTCTGGGGGAGGTGGGGCTAGCTCCAGTGGGCAGCGCCTGGCGTCTTTGGGAGTCCCGGGGCCCTGCCAGGGGCCGCCCCGAGCTTGCGTTGACACTCCGAGACGCCCAGGTGGAACCGCCTGGTCCTCACCGTAGCTTTTTCTTATGTTCCTGCCTTTGCCAAGATCTTTTAAAGAAGCCGGCTTTGTCAAACACACAAAATTGGATTTGCTGAGAACAGGTTGCTTTGTTTGCGGCTGCAGAGGTCTTTCAAGTTGTACCTGTGGGTGGTTAAAGGATTTGCGGTACTGGAGGATGTGAAGCCATGTTTTCTCTTTTGGGTTGTGCGTTCAGTGGTAGAGAAGGGGCTCGTTTGGGAGCCTGTCGATCGGTGCCTGGGTGCCCAGTGACTTCCTGGGGAGGTAGGGATGTTTTGTACACATATGAAAAGTAAAATCAGGCAACTTGGAATCAGATAGGTGGGAAAGGGGAACTGATGTGTGGTGGATGGGTAAGGGGGCCTCAAAAGAGCCTCACAACTTGGGAACATTTGTTGCTGTTCTCCAGAAGCCCCCCTGGGCGAACCGAGTGTAAAGCAGAGAGTGTGGAGCCCAGCCTCACAGATGTGACGCCGCGACTGCACAGCGCTTGGCAGTAACTCCTCAAAGGTGCCCAGTCTGGACATCTGTGGGGAGAGGGCTTAAAGCAGATGGTTTGAAAAGCCTCGGGTTCCCTTGAGAGACACATGGTGACAGCATGAAAGCCAGTGTATGAGCCCACCACATCCCTGCTCATAGCTTTCTGTAAGGCTTGGATCAAATTAATTGCCTGTCTCTGAGAAGGGACAATTTTCAGAGGGGAGGAGGGGAGCTTTCTCTTTTGGGGGTTAGCTCCCACCCAGGCGCATCTCACGGATGCTTGGGAGGCTGCATTTGGGCACACAATATTTTCTTAACAGTAAACTGTGAATGGATAAGTAATTAACCCAAGATTACACTGGGGTTCCCTAGGCTCGCTCGAAGTGCCCACTGTGGGCACCTCCTGGACCCTCACCATGCTGCTTTGTGATGAGTGGCTGACTTTCAGATGCCCCTCTGGCCAGGAGTGCCTTCAGCAGCCCTCTCTGTGGCCCCAGGGCACAGCCTGTCACCTGTAAGCCTTAGCTACTCAGTGTTTGTCTCGTAAAGCCATGGGACTCCCTCTGTTCTAGTCTGAGTCTATAATCCATTTTCCATTGTGCTGCACTGTTTTCCCTAAATTCATCTAAGTGAAAATA